GTTTATCAGCTTCAGTCACGCGTACAGGAGTGACTTCATCAACCAAACACGTATATGCTGGAACAGCATGGAGCATTGTTCCACCTGTAAAACTTTTGCTTCTATGGTTGCTTTTATGGTATGACATGTTGAACTTCTTGGCACCATCAAATGATGGATAAGATGCTTCATGAGATAAAACACCATTCCCCTCGCAACTAGAAGGATTTGTCTCTTCTGAAGGGGCCCTTCTTTCAGCTGGTGTCCTGCTAAAATAAAGGAAGAAACACACCAGAAAGGTGAATTTTTGCAGCTGTAAAAGTTGTTTTTATTTTTTGATGAGATCTGTTGGTTATTTCCAGTGGATGTAATAATCGATATCAATACGGGGAGGGGGAATAAAGTTGATTAAACAGCGCAATATCTAAAAGAACAGCTCTTGATTCTTGCTCTGGACTATTTTCTGGACAATTACTCCTAAACTAAATAGAGCATGAAATTCTTAATTGTTCAATTTCAACTGCAACCTTCTTGTTGAATCCTCCTCCACATTTAAATGCAAGGCATTCCTAAATGACAGCAACATAAATACTAAAAAAGAATGAAAATTCAAAGAACGAGCCCTCTTAATTGTAAAAAAAAAAAATCACTCATTTCCATGCCGGATAAAATATTGAATAAAAGAAGAAACGAGCTTGCAGACTCAAATCCAACTTAGTGAGAGTAAATGTACCTTGTTCCCCTTTTCTTTGGCTCCGCAAAGAGTTCTTCATAAGGCACTCCGAAATCCGAATCTCCGAAGCCACTGAAAACATTTGAGTAATCGAGCTTCGAGCTCCGAACATCGACTGAAGCCTTTCGTTCATGGAGTTCCGGAACTTCAAGAACTGGGATCGACGAACCTCGCGAAGCACCAGAACCGCCGAAAATCTCGGTGTAGTCTTCGACTCGGGACGAGAAAGCCGAGACTTTAAACTTAGATGCAGGGGAAGAGAAAACGCCGTCGTATATGGAGTGACCGTTGGAGAGCTTCTGAGAGAGAGCCACGGACGAAGCTTGGTACTCCATTGATTGACTGGCAGGTGAGAAGCACGCACCGTGTTTTCTTCTTCCTCCTCTCCTCTCTGTGTTCTTTCTCTGCAGAGCAAAATCTAAAGAGTCGAGCACGAGCACGGAGAAGAAGAGAGAATACTGGATGAGAGAAATGAAATGAGTGAATTTTCCGGGAAAATGAGGTAAAATATGCGGTCTAACTGTCAGAGTACGGAACTCAAATTAATCGGCGATTTAGATAAAAAGATCGGCTAGGTGACCGGCGTAGCCGGTGAGTGTGATGAAAACAGTGAGCTTTAAGACTCCCTAATGTCGAAAAACTGATTGGCTCTCTTTACTGTTGCGTGGGAGAAAGCTGTTTCCAGTCCAACGCGTCACTACGAAATCTTCGACACCGACACGGGGGTTATATTTGGTACTATAACAGAAATTGGGGGTGTTTTTGGAAGATCGGTCGAACAAATGTGTGACAATCTTTGATGGCATCACGGCAGGGTCCGTTTAGTAGCTTATCAAAAATTTAAGGGAACATGTATGTGCACACAAAATTAAGCAGATAATCCTCTTTAACACGAAGAAACATTCCCAGCGAAAAATACACTGAATTTTACTTGTATATGGTTTTTTCAAAGCTTCATGTTTGGAGAGTAATTATAGAATACTACAGTAGTATAGTTATGTATTACATCTTATACACGTATAATATAAGTGGATATTTATTGATATTATTTTTTAAAAATGAGAAAATAAATCATGTTGTCCACCTATATTATAACACGTGTACAAAATGTACTACATGGTCATACTATCCATAAAAACTTGTATGAAAGGGGATAGCAACAGTGCTATTCCCTGTCAATCACAGTTTATCATGAGAACAAGTTATCACGCATGACATACCATAATTGACCAGGGATAACAAAATAGTGTTATCCCCGTTTTATATAAGTGTTTCTCCATACTATCGTAGTATTCTATAATTTCTCATGCTAGGAAGATCATCTTTAAGAGAAACACTTATATGAAACGGGGATATCACTATTTCGCTATCTTGGCCAATTACAGTATACCACTTGTGATAACTTTTCCACGTGACATTCTGTGATTGGACGAGGATAGCAAAACAATGTTATCCCCGTTTCATATAAGTTTTTCTGTATCTATAGAGACCAATTTGTGTATCATCTCTCTAATAAAGGTGGTGCCCATTAATACAATGGTTCATACCTCTATTAGAAAAATGGTACACCAATTGGTATCTCAAGTCTTTGCATTTAGAGAATACGCATTTATCCATATTTCATAAAATCTCAATCATTCAAATCATCTAACGACTTAAAGCAAGCCGCATCAGCTAGAGGATAGATTTGTAATTTTCTTTAAAAATTGACGGTAACAATCCCTCCGTCTCTCAACTATAGTATCCATAATCCTCATCATTACTATAACTCCATTAAGGACTACGCATCCATCTTCCAACACTTATCAGATTTCCTCATTTCAAGCTATTTAATTCTTATTCATGTTCATCACTGCTTGTCATTAGCTTCCAGAGCCACCACCCTATATTTCTATCCTCCTCCATATCCTCAATTTTATTTCATTATAAACGATTTATTTATTTTTAATTTCACTCATATATTTTTTTAAAAATAATGATGGTAGATCCCCTCACCTTATTCCATAACAGAACTTCCAATTTGAGATATGAGAAGATTATTATAAATTTGGTATTGTGGAAGTGGCCTTCTGTTTGTGTAAATTACAGAGTCGGTTGAGAAGCAGGCTTGGTAATTTGAAATGGGTTGGTGTTTCACAAGATCGGGTTGGGAATTTCTGATTATTCATCAAAAAAAGAAATGGAAAAGATTGAGAGTGGCGATGAAGTTGGTTCTGAGGATAAGACAAGGAGTAACGAATACCGTTATAATTAATAAAGGCAAAAACACATTTAGTTGATTTGGCTTGCTTTAAGTCGTTAGATGATTTGAATGTTTGAGATTTTATGAAATAAGGGTAAATGTGTACTCTCTAAATGCAGAGACTCGAGATCCCTTTAAAGATGATTTCCTAATATTTTCCTTTTTTTAAAGGGAGAAAACAAAAGGAAAAAAATAAAATAATATTTCAATTGAAGGCTGACCTAGTTTTGATAATGAAATTAGAAGATGCCCACACTAAGAAATATATATTGTGTAAACATTCAATTGTGACTTATTAAATTAAGAGGCAACTTGGGGAGTTGGATGATCCATGTAGAACATTCGATGCATCTCCCAAAACCAATAATATCAAGGGAAAAGAATGAAAAAGGGAAAAGAAACTCCCAATAATTCAAATATTTAAATAACTTTTTAGTATTTTAGGTCCACAAGTTATCAACAACTAAGCATATCCCATAAAGAGAGAAGTCATTGTTGCAGGCAGAGAATACCACACTAGTTATTCTAAAAGTGAATAGCTGTAGGATGCCTTATAATTCAGTAATCAATGAAACTCGGACTTTTTTGTTGATTTATAAACACGAATGAAATGATGGATACAAAAGCACATTTTCCTTCTAATTGGTTTTCATTATTCATTTGAATGTGATTATAAAATCCAACGGTTATTTGCGTACCAGTAGTACAAGCAATCATTTGAATATGACTGGAATCTAACGGTCATGTCTACAAGCCAAGCAATGCCAATGGGGGATGTTAAGTGCGTGATCCACAAATTCATTCTCTCCTTTGTTGGCTTAAAAAATTGAGTTGTACCATTTACTTTGAGTAATTCCATGATGTGAATCGTTTTTCACAAATATGTGTTAAGTTTGTGAATGATTACGCCTATGAATAATTATCTTAATTTACGCAGACGAAAACGTAAATTGATTAAAATTTTCAATTACTTAAAACCCTACATTTAACGATTCTACTCACCTTTTACTTTGTATAAAAGCGCATCATCTATGCCCAACATGCACGTCCATGTGCAAAAGTTTCAAGCAATATCTTGCTGACAACTAGTAAACAACCCTGTATTATATGCAATTTCCCGCTTTGGACTGAGGAGACAAGTTTTTGGGGAAGAATCTTATGAAAATCTTAGATCAGTCATAACTTGAATAATGCAGCAGGACACACAAAAGCATAAAGCATGTGATTATCATAAGGCTCTCCATTAGTATTAGCTTAGATATTTTGTGCCTTTTCCCCTTTCGCTTTTGCTTTTAGCTTAGTGACCCCCAACTCAGTAGAGCAGGCTTTGTTGATGGAATTTCACAAATCAAAAACAAAATCCCCTATCCTGGAGGAAATGTAATGAAACCAAAACCATGCCCTCCTAATTCATTAAACTCATGTTTGGTGAATGAGACTGTACTATTTCAATTAAAATATAACAAAAATGTGGCCGTTATTTGGTATGCTAGGGACGGGGTGAAATTCCCTGTAGCCTCTCCGGGTCCCGGAAGGGGTGGATGGCCGTGGCTTGCCACCAGCTGTTCCCCTTTCAAAAAAAAAAAAAAAAAAAAAAAAAAAAACGCACCTAACCACAAAATTGTTTTTTAGGTTTCCTTTAAAAAAAAAAAAAAAAAAAAAAAAAAAAAAAAACCGGACGCAATCTAACATATTGTTTTTTACAAGTCCTACACAAAGAGGTGAAACTCAACGAATCATTCTATAGTGAGGGCCTTATATATGGCTCTTAGGTAAGATCATATCTCTTGACTGTTGGATTAAGCTAACTAACTTGATCAAACGATTAAGAAATAAGATCTCACTTAAGAGCCATATATAAGGCCCTTACTATTGAATTCTTTGAGACACATAAAGAATAGCTTGGACTCAATTCCAATCAAATTCAAGATGGGCCACCAAACAAGGCCTAACGGGACTGGTAGCCCATGGACTTACTTTACACTTTGGGCTTAACTGGACTAGACATTATTGTCTTCATATTTCATTTTCATTATTATTTATTATGTTTTAACCAAGTACGAGCAAGAGAAAAGAAAACACAAAAACCCCTCGTTCGCTTTTGCCCAACCAGAGGAGAGTCACAGTCTCACTTGCCTTGAACAAAAAGAAAAGCTCGATAAAAAACCCAGAGGTTTTCAGCAAGTTAAGGGCAGTCTCTGTTTATTTGTGCCAAGAGAGAAGAAACGACGCCGTAAAGATGTTCAGAAACCAGTACGACACAGATGTGACGACATGGAGCCCAGCCGGGCGGCTTTTCCAGGTGGAGTACGCGATGGAGGCCGTGAAGCAAGGCTCGGCGGCCATTGGGCTCCGATCCAAGTCCCACGTGGTGCTTGCCTGCGTCAACAAGGCCAACTCCGAGCTTTCTTCTCATCAGAAGAAGATTTTCAAGGTCGACGACCACATCGGCGTCGCCATTGCCGGCCTCACCGCCGACGGTCGTGTTCTCTCTCGATATATGCGATCGGAGTGCATCAACTACAACTACACTTATGAATCTCCGCTCCCTGTCGGACGACTGGTCGTTCAGCTTGCCGATAAGGCTCAGGTGTGTTGCGTACTCAAGCCCTAATTTTGAATCTGTTTCTGTTGCTCATTTCTGTAAATTTATGGTTTTGTTTGAGTGGGTTTTGTGACTTGGGTTGTTGGATTGGGAAATTGGGGGTTAGGGCTTTGCTGGAGGTGGGGCTGTGGGAAATTTATTGCTTTTCTCAGGGTTTCTGGGAAATTGAGACTCAAAGAAGGAAAATTGGTATATGAATTTGGTGTTTCATTTTTTTCCAGTAGAATTGTAGACTTCCTTTCAACTCAATCAAGTATGGCGCCTTAGTCCAAGTTGAGGGATGGGTTTACTGGGAAACCAAAGATTTAGAACCCTAGGATTGCTAACAAAGGAAATGAGTGGTTGGGCTAGGGTTTTAACAATATAGTTAGCTACTTACGGTTCCCTTGTGTCATAGGTCTCCTTGGGTATCAATCATGCGAAGTTAAAGATCAAATTTCTTTGAGTAGCATATGTTGAAGTAAGGTTTTTTTGGAGGAGGGGTGGATAGGATAAGGCTTTTGGGGTTTAGATTGTGTTGTTAATGTGACTTCAAATTGTTTTCTTTTCTTTCATTGAGTGCTGGTATTTCAGAACCTTTAGGAAATAATTGACACACACTAGTTGGTTCTGTCAGTAAATTACCCAAGCAAAGTAAATTAACTTGAGCGAGAAAGGAAAATGAAATTGAGGATTTACTGGAAAGGTGTAGAATGGACTTGCCTGGGAAATGTATGTGTGGAAGAGTTTGGATTGAATAGTTAATATACATTAAGGGTTCCATATTGTCTTATTTGTTTCTGGATCCCATTTCGCCAATAATTAATAAGTAGGCTTGTTTTTTTAGAGATATAGCTATTGTTTGTAGGTTAGTAGACTTGGTGAACTTTTGAAGTTTTATTTCTGTGTATTGTGCATTAATACGACTTATCAAAAAGGTGTATTTTATTTGCGTTGCACACTGTATACTGAGACAAGAACTCTCTCTCTATCTCACACTCTCTCTTTCTCTGTCTGTGGTGCATATACTCACGTGGGCACATGTATCTTCTATATTACAATTTTTGAATTTTGTAGTTAGATTTTCTGCCTTCATCACACAGCTTTATGAAACATACAATACGTGACTTCAGCTCAAATCCCCTAAGCTTTAACTTTGTGGCATTCTAATGTGGATGGTCCACAAGAGTACAAATTGATGAATTCAGTAGAATGGTGGTAAGATCATATTAGTTGGCATATTTTGCTTATTAAATGATAATAGAATGTCAAGTTCATCACAATTTGCATTTCAGTGACCTCTTAATAAGTTGAAGTTGAACCCTGAGATTCTTCAGGAATTGACAAATTTTAATTTTGCTGTGTTTTGAAATCAGTCATGTTAGCTTGAGGATTGGTCTTTTGGTATTATTATACGCTGAATCTATTTGTCCCTTGAATCCTACTGATTTGAAACAAAACTGTGCAGAACCGCCACAAAAAGAGCAACCAATCTTTTTGATGTCTCTTCAATTTTATCATTTGGTTATGTCTCTTCAATCTTAATGTTTGGTTGATGTCTCTTCAATATTTACGTTTGGTCTTTCTAATCAATTATCTTCTACATGTATACCACTGTTTATTTGTATGTCCATTTAGAGATGTTTCTTCATCTCAGGTCTGTACTCAACGCTCATGGAAACGGCCATACGGTGTTGGACTACTAGTAGGTGGTTTGGATGAGTCTGGAGCACACCTATATTATAACTGCCCGAGTGGAAACTACTTTGAATACCAGGCTTTTGCAATAGGATCTCGCTCACAAGCTGCTAAGACATACTTGGAACGCAGGTTTGAGAACTTCACGAACTCTTCACGGGAGGATCTGATCAAGGATGCCCTCATTGCGACGAGGGAAACCTTGCAGGGAGAAAAACTGAGAAGTTCCATATGCACAATTGCTGTGGTAGGAGTCGAGGAGCCTTTCCATATATTGGATCAGGACACTGTTCAGAAGTTGATTGATGCATTTGAGATCGTGGGGCAGGACGAGCCTCCTGCTGCTGAGCCTGGAGCAGCTGCAGAAGAGGGAGCTGGTGCTGGTGATGGTGATGGTGCCGGCCAGGGTGCTGTTGCTGAACCAGATGTAGCTCCAATGGATATTTGAGGATGCTAGAATCAGTTGTCTTTCCACCTTTTCATTGAGGTTTTCTAGCATGTGTTTCTTAAGAGTATGGATGGTATTGTATAAGATAACAATTTATTGTTGAACCTTTGCCCTTTCTTTTTCTTTTCTCTTACAACTTTACAAGGTTATGCAAGTTACCTGCCTCATTAGCAAGAACATTTTGACGGTGGCCTCTGGTTAGATGAACTTTACATTCAATAGCTACCGTTGAGATATATTGAACTTATTGATTATGCCCAACCTTGTTATACATTGTTATGGAATGGTTTATTTCTGGATGCACCCGTGTATGGGCAAACGTAACACTGATGCCTGGGGTATCTTAATGTTATAACAGATAAAAATCTTGCGAGCTCTGCAACTTAAGATCATCCGCAAACAATTTATATTTCGTGCATCCACAAGGTTTTCGAGCTACACAAAAACATTTGACTCGATCTACGTAGCATTTGTCACACTAGTGAAGTTCCGTTCTCAAGTAACTGCTTCTCGCTTCACCAAGTAGTGGTAGTTTACTCGTTAGCATTATTTGTGACAGATTTTAAGAGGAAAAATGTGGTTTGCTTAAGAAATGTGGCATTGCCATCACTTTTCAATTTCTTTTTTTCAATAATTTTTATTTTTATTTTTTATACAAGCAGTATAGGGTGAGAGAGTCAAACATATAAAGTCCGGTGTTGAGGTAAATGCTCTTTGCTTTACTTTCAATTTTAAATTTAACCAATTAATTATATACAAATTTATAAATAAACCCAATCCTAGACATGTATTTATAAAAAAACTCAAGCACTATTTAAACATAGAAACACACCTAAAATCAATCCCAAAGTCAACTTTTTGGGTGTGTTTATAAATAGGTTTTGAGTGTGTGTAATGATGGGTTTTGGGTGTGTTTATATGTTTAAATAGTGCTTGGGTTTTTTTATAATTTCAACCCTCATTTTGGGTGTTTTAGTGAAACTCCCTTAATTATAATGCTATTACAATTGATTTCTGTGAGGGTCTTTTTGTTCCAGCAGCCTGACGAATGAGCTTGGGTTGCCGTAAGAGGAAAATGAACCAAGATTCCCCAAGTGTCTGAGTTCAGAAACCAGGCTCCCAAAAGAGTTTTTGAAGAGCTTGATGCGACTCTAGAAAAAACACTCTCAGGTTCTTTTCATCAATAGCCAAATAAACATGATAGATTGATTAATGCTTAGCATGAGGAGCTTGTGGCATGGGAGCTAAGCTTTCACAAGTTTAGCAATTTTAGAGAGAGATAGAAGCATGAATTTCTTACAAAGAACAAAGGTTTGCAGTGGGCAGAGGAAGATTAGAACGATTTCTACCTTAAGGGAAGAAGAAAACAAACGAAGAAGAAGATTGGGTGGCTTGAGTAAATTCTCAGATGTTTGACAAAGCTTGGTCAGGCTCTGGATGGTTGATTTTGCTGGGTAGAAGAAGCTCCATTTTATAGGCTTGAAGAACCCTAATTTCATCTAACATTTTCCTCCCTTTTTCGTTGCTTCTTTCCACTCAATTCTATTTGGTAAAATTCTCTCATCCAAGGCGCATATGTAAGGAGTTCTTTGTGGTTCCAAGGTTTTGGCACAACTGGTTTTTCTCTGTAGGGGTAGAGTGCAAAATAGAGCTTGCAACGGAAAAAGAGATAGGTGGAGCTTTTGTCCACTGGGTCTTCTTCCTACACTCATAGATTTCTGTTGGTCTCTGTCATGGCTTCCTATTTGACCATCTTGGAGTCCTAACAAGGATGGAGTACGGCGCCAGCTTTTCTACAAGTCGCTAGGTTGGGCTCGTGTGCAATATTGGGTCGTTGGCTTATTATTTCTAGCGTGCGATGGGTTTTCGTCAAACTGCTGGAAAAGGCTTTGTTGATTTTAGGCATTCTATTGATGCTGGCTTTGTCTAAGTGCTATGGCAGACTATTAGATATCCTCATAAGGCATTGGATCATTTTCTCCCCTCTCTCATGCTAACCCATATGTTTGGGTTCAAGAAATGGGCTTGAGTTTTGGGGCTCCCAAGCAGCCCAAAACTTCCATTTCTTGGCTTATCAACGGGCCCCATGAAAGCTCGTTACCATCCATACCACAACCCACTCAAGCAAGTCCCGGGCATTTGCGTGGCTTGGGCCCACTTAAGCTTGTAGCGTGGCTATGTGTGAAATAATGATTTTCTGCTTGGCATGACATGTCAATTGGTGTGCTTGAATTTTATAGTCTTTGAAAAAATTTCAAATTCCATTATTGAAATTTTAAATGGTCGTTCGGCACTTGTTCAACCCCGGGGAGAGAAAAACAGAAAAAAGATGAAAGAGAAGGCAACATTATGATAACGGTTAAAAATTTGCAAAATCACTAAACATAGCAAACCGACACAAACCATTCAAGCGCATAAAGCCTCGAACTATTCAGGATCCACTCCTCATATTCTCTATTGTATGCGGTAGTCCAGTCAGCCTCAGAACGCAACCATAGCTGCCCCTTGTTTTTAAAAGATATATAGAGGGCTAGTAGCCATGGAAATCAAAATAATCACTTCTCTGATAAAATAACAAAAATTTTAAAAATCATTTGGGGATATCAGGAAGAGTGAGGCCCTTGGTCTGCATCTGCTTGTACATCCATTGCCAATTCTCAGGGGTGACCTCGCCCCCGAGTGAGCGAATAACAGATCCGCCACTGCATGATCCCACTTTGCAGCATTCCTCCAGAGATAATCCCTTCACCAATCCATACAAAAATCCACTTGCAAACAGGTCTCCTGCTCCTGTGGCATCCACTGCATTGGCTTTCCCTATGGCTGGAACTCTCACAATCTGACATATTAAACCAAAATTTTTATAACATACCCTTGTTAATCAACTTTATAAATATAACACTGAGAAAATTGTTACTAAGTTACTGACCTCTTTTCCGTGCTTTGCAATGCATCCATTGGGGCCTAACGTCACCACTGCCCACCGGCAATGTTTTGCCAGAAATTCAAGTGCAGCCTCAGGATCAGCTTTTTGTTCACCCTCAGTGCATCTATAAGAGAAATTAAACACCATATTACAACTTCGGCTCCCAAAAGAGAAAAATAGAAAAGAGAACATCTGTCAAATTGGTGCCTAATGGTAGAAGAAAAGTAAAACATTTTTCCTCAAGTATTAGTAGAGTCAACTTTATTTCATCAAAACTGGGTGAACAGTTCAACATGTTACAATTCCAACCAAATGAAAGCCACCTTAGCAACTCTGTTGCTTCATCCTCATTAGCAAAGCAGAGGTCTATGCCCCCTGACTCCAGCAACTGCAGAAGAGGTGATCTAAAGTTGCGAACCATCTGGGTAATGTTAAAGACTATATAAGATAATAGACAGAGACCTAAAATTTGATATTAAACAGCCGCAAGAAGGAAAAAAAAAGAAAGAAAGGTTAAAGGCCAAACAGAAAAGTGCGTTTTCACTTTGCTAGCAAACACAAGATTCTACATCAATGCGGTTGCAGCAGGATTGAGATTTAAGAAACAAGTTTGATATCACATCAAATGTAGCAGGAGTTTCTTTAAAGGGATTGGTCGTGTGGCCTTAAGTATATTTACAGGGAGATAACTATCGTAGCAGATGCTTTAGCTAGCTCTGGAATGGACTTCGATCTTGGCTGTACTATCTTAGATAGCCCCATTTATATAGGGTTTTCTAGACTGGTATTCTCCGTTAGTCTCTTGTTTGTTGGTTGATTGGGCTTTATCCCAAAAAAGAAAAAAAAGAATGTAGCAGGAAAATATACTCTTATCATACAAGTTTAAATTATTCATTCTCAAACTTAACTAGTTTCAAAAGCAAATTTGGAGAAGTCCATTGTTCCAAATGAAAGAATCTCAACCAAAGAAAAGAAAAACTCGTACCTCAAAGCTGGCTAAGTCCATGGACACGAAAAGACCCTCTTGTTTGGCAATCCGTATAGCAGCTTGAATCACTTCCAAATTGATAATACCATACCTCAACAACAGCCACTGCAAGAAAAAAGAGATATCAACAGTTGTATCTACGGGGCTACAAATTTTCCAAACATTTCAAGTTTATGGCATGAACTCTATTACTGAATCCGAGGTCAAAGTTTCATACATGATTGTGTGTCTAAAGCGCATTATGGTATTACACTTTGTTGGAGTAAAACTTAAATTTTAGCAAGTAGAGAAGAAACTAACCTTACACCCCTTAAAATCCGCTCTTGTCAAGTCATCTGCCTGAATAACATAATTCTAATAATTCTTTGTAAGCTCATTCGAAGAAATTGTCAAAGAGCTCAGGCACACACCACACACGCACACACACAAGCATGCACACAGACATGCAGATATGCATGCATATATGGACATAGAAAGAGTCATGCACCTGAGGGTGAAGTTTCACAGCACTTGAGAGACAGGGACGCATTGTACGATTGCCCAAGGCATCAACCAAGCAAACGCACTGTATGACATCAATTACTTACAATGCTTCAGCACCTAACATCTATAAGCTAAATGTTCAAATGCCCAAAAAAAAAAAACGATATTTAGCTAAACCTGAGCTGTGGGTCCCTTCTTCATCCTCAATCTTGAGAGGCTCACAGCATGAGAGCTCATGTTACTGACAAATAACTGGCCTTGCTCATCATCCCCACAGGCACCAATTATTCCACAGGAGATTCCAAACCCAGCACTCAGCCCTCTGATAGTATTGGCTACACTGCCCCCGGCTATTGTTTTCATGGGCAAGGAATCATCAGGGGATGAGATAATATGGGTCTTCACCTCACCCAGTATGTGCTCAAGCTCTTCACTTGCAACCTACACCATACAGTATGTGACAAAAGCTAAAGTCTTTAACTTTTTGCTTGCACAGAGAATACAGAGCAACATTAAATACCCACAACCAAACTCATTTGATATCAATGAATGCTATGTACTAGCTAACTAACAAACCCGTGAATTCCAAATTGGGCATAAAAGCAATAAACCATCCAAAATTGGCAAAACCCAAGTAGCTAAAAACAAGAAAAAAGAAGGCAGAAGCTATAAAGTCATAAAGGGGTTACAGGAATGGAGCCACCGCGCTCGCCTGTGAGTTGATCGAGCAAGGACCAATCGACGCGGGCCACATGGTCGACGAGGGCGGATGCCTGTAGTCCCAATACCAGAGGAGCCTCGCCTCCGCTGCAGTTATTGTTGAAGTTGGCGGTGACGGGCAAGGCTTCTGCTCCCATTTTCGGC